TGTGTGTGTGTGTGTGTGTGTGTGTGTGTGTGTGTGTGTTTCACCGGGTGACCTTGAAACACAAGTTCACCATTGACGATAAAAATTAAAAAATGAAATAATTTGCTAAAATTTACATAGATCTAATAATTTGCTAAAATTTACATAGATCTAGTATCGCATCAAATCAGGTTCCCTGAGAGTGATTTTGCTTATATTGAGACGCTGCGATAATTATTTTAAAAATTGTGTGCCCAAAGCTTTATTCTGCGCGGCGGCAAATTTTGAAGTGATTACACATCACAACGCGCGATCTTGACAACAGGCGGCCACCAAGTCTGGGACACTTTTGTCCTAATGCAGTAGGCGGCTATATTTCTCTATAATCACAGACGATATTACACCGGGACTGGAATAGTCCTGTCCCACCGATGTTGTAGCAATTCACAACTTCTCGGGACTCAAATCGACAAGAATTTCCTGTCGTAGTAGGTGCGGTACATTTCACTCTAATTCAAAGGTTTCAAAATCCCAACGGGTCTGTCCCGGGACAAACTGTTGTAGTGCGGTACTAGCCTAAGCCTTTTCAGTTTTGGTGGAAATTAGTTTTGAGTTTTCCCCGGCAGGTGGCACCCGAAGCTAAGGCTAGTGCACACACACACACACACACACACACACACACACACACACACACACACACACACACACAAACACACACACACACACACATGCATACACACAGACTTCAACAAAAGTTAGGGACCACTTGCAAACACTCTGGGTGGTCTTCTTGGGTCGACCTGCACGTGGGCGTTCTTGGACTGATCCAGTTGCTTGATGGCGCTGCCTCAGGCGGACAATGACAGAGTGTGACACTGCGAGCCTTCTGGCAACTTCTCGTGCTCCAACTCCATCCTCCAGCCTTGTCATAGCTCTGGCACGATCAAAGTCTCCCAGCTTTCGTCTAGGTGGTATGTTGATGCGATACCGGATTTTGCACAAACGGTGTCTTATATTGCCACCAAAGTGAGCACAGTTCGAGACCGTACGTCCGTTTATGACGTACATCAGAAATTTTAACTGAGGAAAATCCTTGGTGTCGCACACAAGTCGATAAAAAACCAGCAAATTTGGCTAAAATTCCCCGAGGATTTCCGTGCTGCACGTGTTGGTTTTGCTCCTTTAGGAGACTTTGCAGTACGCATTGGTAACCCATTAACACTTTCAGAGTAAAAAAATTTGAAACATTCCTTGCTGTCTTTTTGGGGGGGGGGGGGGGATATTTAAAAAAATTAGGACTGTCTGTCAAGGTGGTACTTCACTTTTGTTGAAGTCTGTATATCTTGCATTGAAGTCGAGATATTTGCGATTTAAGGAGATGGAGGGGTTGCCCAGCGTCAGAGGTCAAATTAGCGGAAAATGGCCGCCAAAGTTTGGTGATTTCCAAAGCTTAAGTGTCATTGGAAACTGCAAATTTACAACAACAAAAAATGTTTGCTGGTTTGTTTGTTTGTTTTGTTTGTTGTTGCTTTTTTATTGGGGGGGGGGTGTGCCTTTCATCAACCTGTTTTAGTACAATCCACACATAAACATGTTTTAAGAAAGGGACGTCAGCGGTGTAGAGTCCA